CGGCAGCACTCCCCTCCCCAACCGGAAGAGTCGTCTTCCAAAAGCGTTTAGTTGGTTAGCAAAGTTTTTTTTAATTTTCACACATAAATACAAACTTTTTGGAGGGGAAATCGTGTTATGTAGTGTGTGCATGGGTGCCTCCTCTCCCCTCCCATTTTGTTCTATCTCATTCGTGTTTTTTTTTGAGGCAGAAGTAACTAATATCTGATTACGCGTTAGAATAGCTGATCATAAGTGTGAAACTTTGCATAACTTTTACCCACGACAGAATGATCCTCAAAATGCCATTTAACATTGACACCGCTAATAGGTATAAGTTTGCTTCTATTTACTGCTGCTTGTAGAGTTTTTCTCAGTTTTTCTTCAGCATAGTTGAATTCTGCTGTCTACTTTTTGCAGTGAGTTGTGCGACCTTCCTTCCAGTTAGTTCTCTCACAGCACCAAAAATTTCGCCCTAATATATTCTAGTTCGAGAGTTAATTTATGGTCAAAAAACCTATCGTGTAATTCTGTTTAATGTATATCGCGCTAACCCCATGTTTTGAAATTAAATAAACTAGTTCTAATAATAATTACAGACTCTCCAAGCAAACAAGAATTACCTTATATTTAAAAGTAATTTTTTATTACCTTTCTGTGGAGTTACTATCAAGGCACAAACAGTTTGCCCCGATGAAGTGGAGTTTAGTAAATTGTAGTGAGTGGAAGACAGACATACTGCTGTGAACAATAAGTCAGCCAAACAGAAAAACACCTCCCAAAACTTGCATCATTAAAAGCAGGGAGTATTTTTGACCTTTCACCTCCTCTTAAGCATTCGAATAGTCCAGAAGTCCGTAAGGCCATATGTTAAAGTTGCCTTTCATTTGTTTTTACTGTCCGTTCATTCCCGTAAAAAGGGAAAAAGGGAACTGAACAAGGCAAAAAATTCTTCCAACAATAGCAAAATATTGTCTGAGTCGGCTTATCCATTAATCATTTGTTGTCCAAGACCAAAAAGGCTTTATTGTTCCTGTATTTGACGATCACATAAACTGGTATAAAAACAATTAAATTCAAGCTTTAGTGGCTCTCGAAAATATTCTTAAGGGGAATGTGTGACAGGCATTGTTCCATGTCTGCATTGGTCTGGAGAAAGAAGGCGTCTGAATACCGGCTTACTGAGTCATGTAATGATGCTGTAAACATTTTTTTGCTGTGAAAAGTGTAAATACAACCTTCCTAATTGTTCTCTCCCGCGCTCAACTCATCATGTCACTCAAAACGTGCCCAAGTGGGGGCTACTTACCTCCGCCTGGTACACTCATACCGCTAGTCGTAAAACCTTTTTCCATGTGCATCATACTGCAGTAAAAAGCGTATCAGCACATGCCTTTCCCATGCTAGTCAAGAGGCTGTTTTCACTCCCAACCTTTAGGATGAATTCTTGCTCGTGTTAATAAGCCCCTTTGAAAAATGAGATCAAGAAAATTACACTGCGACCTCCCAATGTATTGGGCCACCGCACGTCGGTCAGGCTACTTTACAAGCCCTGGAGATTATTCTGTGTGTTACATTCATAGGAGAGGGGTCGATTCTAGGACACAAAGAAGCAAATGATTTTTTTCCCATCTTCATAAGAACTAAAAAATGAGCAGCCAAATGAAACGAGGATAGTCAAGCTTGACTCAGTAGGCCTTTTCTCACAGAGACGTTTCCTGACGCATACCAACGGAAAGTTTGACTTCTAAATATTTTTTTACAATCACAAAAAGACAAATGTACCTAGTCCGGTGGTCCTCATGCAATTCCAGTCCCTTACTTCTTGTGTATGTTCACGTACCAATTGCCCATTAGGACTGTGAGAATTTCCCACCTTCGAGGCCCTGAGACATGCCCCTTCACGGACGCAACCCCAAATGGCATTTTTAGGGACAGTGGAATGTCTTGTTTCTACTTTACTTAACTTTAACCGAGGGAGGTTGCGTCACGCAGGGGTAGACCAAGTGTTAGCCAACTCAGTTTGCGTGTGTGTGTGTGCATGTGGATGAATGGGTGGGTGGATGTGGGTTGCGCAATTACGTGGACCGCCTTATTTCTACTGTACATGGAAGAAGCCGCTGACTAATCGCCCTCCCAGTCATGGTGAGTGTGATTTACCACTATGTCGTTGTGCCAAATGGCTGGCAATTTCTTCGTCACTCTGAGTAATGTGAGTTCGTAGTAGGGAGGCCTTAAACATGCACCCGAATCTGTTTGCTCAAGCCTACCACTTCAAAGTATGTTACAAATTAAGTTTTCTCTTTTTGTAGGGAATTGGGTGATGTTTTGGCTATGGGAAAGTGCATTTTTGTTTGGATGTATGGTTGAAGTAATTTTGGAAATCACTCGGATTCCGGGCTATTACCATCTCTCCGTTGCAGACCAACTTAAAGGGCAATCATTTACCAACGAAAAACTTTGCAACCCCATGAAATTATTCTATACATTTTAGCTCCAAATGGGCTTTTAACTAGTGTTATTTAAAGACAGTCACCTTTTTGAGAGATAATAAACGCCAAATTTAAAGGCGACCGCTTTTAAGAAGAATTCTAAGGTTAACTACAAAGATAGATTTTAAGGCAAGTAAAAAATTTGCACTTAAAAAAGGTATTCAAAGTTTTCACTATTCTGCAATTTCTCGTTTTAAGTGCGTTTTGTTGGATTAAGGTTTAATAGCGCCAGCTCATCACCCTGTCTCTCCTGTTTTCATTCTAAGCATTTCTAAAACAACCGAAAGATCAGATTTTAATTTAGCTCTCCTTACTGTTTTGCAACAAACTCAATTATATTTAGTGAAAAAGACATTTTTTTGATCAGCTAAGGGGCTGTAATGATTCACGATAGCCTCAAATTTTGATCTGGCGCCAAAAGCATGATCTCATGGCTTTTTTGTTTACCAACCGCTGAGTGTTGCAAATTCAAAGTCCCACTCCCAAAATGTTCTTTTACTATATTTTGACAAGATTTTGACCTAAAAATTGGCGGAATTTGTGCACCTGGGTCCGATGTTATCAAAAACATTTCCACTTCCCCCTATACGCCTTGGTGGTTGATGCACACCCCAACTTAGCAGCACTTTCTCTACTTCTTTCCTGCACCCGTGTTCCAGCCTTTTTATGGCTGCACAGGCTGGTTTGTTTCCCCATCCCCCCTCAAAAAGCTTGCCATTATCCAGTAAAGTGTTCGTTTCTGACCCAGCATTAGAGATATTACTGTCTGAAGTAGATAAGCTACTAAGAGGTGGTCTATTTTATTTCCTCAAAAGGACCGGTGGAACATGAATTTATCCTAAAGAAGTATCCTGCTGTAGTATACTAACCTATTATTTCCTCAAACAGTACTCGTCCTACAAAGTACATTAATAGTTTTGCTGGTAACAAAACAAGAAGATTCTTGCGTGCATACGGGTGCTTTGAGGTCGTATGAGAGGCTACAGAAGAACTTTTTCTGGTGCTTTAAATTATCACAATGAGCAGAATGTGTGTGCGCTGAAATCCCTCCTAAGTAGTGTATCAGTCCAATCTCACCGTTATCGGTAAAGGGATAAATGCCAAGGGCTTTCTAGTGCAACAATAACAGAATTACGAGATTGTTATTTCTCAGGACTTAAAGGTGAGGTCGGCATTTCATCTGATGTTCACCTTTTACTATTGGCACAACGGCGGCATTTAAGGCCACTTGCATTGATTGTCACTTGCCACTAACCAAGAGTTTGCTTCTTTCACCTTTTTAAGATAAAGCGAGGGTGAAGGATAGAGAGACTCGTTCCAGTTTAGGCAGTGATGCGCCATTGATTACGGTGCTGACTTTAACAGTGTTAGCAATGTTTCAAAGTAAACACTGGCAACTCATCGCTCCTTGGAATTTACTCACCTTATTTGCCAAAAATAATCAAATGTTCTCTGACACATTTAAAAACTGAATTGACTTCAGCTTCCGAGGATTATCCTGTTAATTGTCGCCGCAGGGATTTTTTATTATATTTGCTACCAGATTCTACGCATATTTAGAGTCCAGGTACATTAAACGTCGCCTTCCATCAAGAACACTCCCTAACTTTTTAATGAATTTAGGCAAAAGATCGCTTATTTGGGTTACTAACAGCGGTAACAGCGTTATCTCAATCGTTTTGTGTTCAAAGAAACTATTTTTAAATAGTGCTTATTGCCCGTTGAAACGATTTCTTGATGAGACGCGTAATTTTGTGATGGAAAGTTGTCCTCTAGCAATCCAATTCGCGTACATATACCATCCCCAAAGGCACAGGGATGGAGATCGCTGCTTCAAGTGGATGAGATTTAAACGGCTAAAAAGAGGTGTCTAAAGGTTCGGAGAGTCCCAAAAATAATACAAAGTTGCGACCAGGGAAAAAGCTTCTCTGAGAAGAATTGAACTTTCGTTGAGAAGTGGAAACTTGGGTGACCAACCAAACATTTGTTTTTATCTGGTTTGAACCATTTTGTCTGGACCAAAGGCTACTCTTCATTTCGTTTGAACAACGTGGGGTCTTAAGTGGGAAACAAAAAATGATCTTTTACTGTCACAGACAGCAACAACCTGATAATCTCTCTATAACTTATACTAGGTTATTCTGTCGCCCTTTCGCCTGAGGTATGGTCCCTTCCTTCCACCGACTGCAAAGCCACCCTTAAAGGTAGGTGTTTTGAAGGCTGTATTATCGTGTTATTTTAGACATGATGTTCCTTGTTAATTCGTGTTATTTTTGAAGACAAGATATTGTCGGGAAATTGGACTAGAGTCGCATGAATTTCGCCGTAGTATATTAAAGTCCATGAGTTTTCGACACGCATTTATTATAGCCGAAAATCAGTAAAAAGTGAAAAGATCAAGTTGACCTTAATCTGTTGCATTAATGTGACTTTTATTAAAATCAAGTGGTGGTCTGCCCTTAGTCACAGCCTCCGCCTTAACTGTGTAATTCTGCCCCAAATCTGGTCCACCGCTAACACTCCGACTACCTACAAAGGATAAAATATTTCAAAAAAATTTGCCATTCCATCTTCAAATGTCACCTAAAAAAAGCAGTATATTTCATAGAAAATAAAAATTTTGGAGACAAGTTAAGGGTCTTCGATGGACAACAGGAAAGCCGGTCGTAGTATCTCTAAAATCTGTGGGTATTTCCAAGGTAAACTGGATCTGGTGTGTGCGGATCTGAGGAATTCGTTTTGAAAGTTTCTACCAAACCTTATTAGAAGGTTCCTTGTTTCATTTTTAACATTTAGATCTTGTACTTAGCGAAAAAAAATTGGGGGGCTGATTGTTGGAGATTCGAAGTTTACAAGCTTTCTATCAATGACGTGTACGAGGAGGCCAGCAAAGGGAATCATAACAGATGCAAAGAACGGCAAAAATTGGGGGTGATAAAGTGAGTCTATTTCAAAGTACCAATGGGATTTCAGAGTCAAAATATTCTTCCTTAGTTGCATGGGGAAATGGTTTTGATCGCGTGCCTCGTTACCATCCATGCATCTCGAGCAGGGGGCCGGTCAATTTTAGCTCCCCTGAGTAAGCCAAAAGCACAGAAAGCTTATTAAAGTTAACTATTTCTACCAATTCTGCCTTTAATTTTGGCAGAAAGACGGGAAAATTGCCCAATATTTCACAGTTTAAAATTTATAAAATTTTGATAAGTATGCTTTTAATAGTGTATGCCTAATTCATAAATTTGATCGCATTAGTTAATAAATCGTGAAAAATGGTGCGAACAAAATAAAGTTGATTATGAAGACATTTGGGAACTTTAACGAATTTACTCAGCTACGTGGTGGTGCAACTTTGACTTGAAAGTCATTTAACTGCCTGTGTGTCCAAAGTACAGAATCGGTCGCTGCTAGACACCCTAATTACCTTAAGTGGATGATTAGTGAACAGAATATCTTTTTTTGTACCCAAAAGCAAGAATATACAAAGTACACATAAAAACCTGGGGTTTTAGTCATGGTTACCATGGTAACCGCGAGTTGCTCACAAAACTGCATATTAGTTGGATTTCTCATGGGCATTTCGAATCTGCAGGGCCTCGAGACCTCATCGAAGAAGAACGAAGTCATAACACTAGGGCAGAATATATAATGCCGACTTACAGAAGGGCTGAAGGACTACTGGCATGGCCTTTAGAACAGGTCGCCAGGCAAGGGTACATTTGTGGAGCCTTACGTTGCCCACCATTAAAATCTAGAGTTTAACAACCTATTAAGGGATTGCGCATCCCACCCCCTCTTTTAAGCGTCATCTACCTCGCTCCCGTCGGTTAACATTCCGCATCAATCATCAAAACGCAGTCGGTGATGTAAGAAAAACACCAACGAGCCAAATCAGTTAGTCATCAAATTTGTGTGCAAGTGTGAAGGCAACTGACTGCAACGTCAGCTAAACTTCCAGTGATTCTACTCGATCTTGAGCCTTGGCCTGTTTAGGAATCCAGATGGGGGGAGAAGTAAATGTATAGGTCATCAAGTATGTCTATGGCTTGGTTTAAAGGCAGAGTCAGGTAAAAAAGAAGAGGTTTAGCACTTCAGTGATGCTCAACTATCTAACAATCTGAGTTAAATCCAGATAGTAAAGAGGTGGAGGCATCGCGCGTTCACTTCGTTGACATCTTCAAGCTGGTACTACAGACACCTCCGTAACAAACTTTTCTAGATCGTTTACGGCTAGTGTCGCTTTTTTTGTTAACAGCATTCCCGCAGAACATGAGTCCGGGGTGGTTGCCTGGGGTAGACGTCACTTTCAGCCCCTCTGTTATGGGTCGTTACAGATTTTCCCATCCGCAGTATATACCCTTCTTCCTCCACATTAAGGTCCAGCATGGCTATTATACACTACAATCGGGATCACTTGCTGTTGCCACTAGTGTGGCACTACAAGTCTTCTTTGAAAAAGAAAGTAGTCATGCGACTAGGGTAGAATATGTGCTGCCAAAATACAGAGAACTGGAGGACTACTGGCACTGTCTACATTTGAATCACAAAAATCGAGCCTTAGATGCCCACAAGACCAAACAAACATCCAGAGCACTACATTGTATTCCCCTCTCATCCATACAACATAGAATTCAAAGCTGGTCAATTTTCAGCTTTCTAAGCATTTATCTATGCATACTTATTTGTTTGTGAAACTTAACAGTTCAAATATGGCCCAAAAAATATGAAAAAACTTGCAGCAAATTCAATTCACTTTGCGCAATGTTGAGTTTTAGGCAAATAAGGCATGAATAATGCACAAGAACTAGGAAAGTTAGTCTCATTTCGGATATCCAGATTTGTTCTCGTTTGAGTGCTTTCACTAAACCCTATAAACTTCATGTTTTATACTTAATGAGTTGTAGGGGAAATTCAAAAGAATAACAGGGAATCGCAGCTTTATTATTCAATTTTATGGATTTGGTAAGTGATATTCCAAATTACGCTGTGGTAGCTATGGAGGAGACTGGTAAACCATAGTCACAACTCAAACCACGTTTGCAATCAAACGTTCGGCGTACAAATTTGGTCACTTCATCATTCTAAATATCTTGAAATGAGATACCTTATCAAATGTGGAGTCTAAATTCATTAGTGGATAAATATTAAGGCTGCTAGCATGGAAGAAGTGGCTGTTGTTGTTGTTGTTATAGCAGTGCGCAAAGGTCGGATGGAATGTGCGTCATGATACTGTAGTGGTGCGTGGGGTAAAACAATCTCGCTGTGTAAAAAATGGTGCACAAAAAACATTGTAAATTATAAGCCCTAACAGGACTTTTTAGAGAATCCACAACCAAGTGGATCACGAACCACGTGAGCACTAAACTGGTGCTGTCG